TCACTGGTGAACCCCGACGCACGGCGAACCCTGGCTGTATCATGTCAAGGCATCTAGCTAGGAGAAACTCTGCTAGTTTAAAAGCGATGACGTGACCCGGGAATAACGATATCCACCCTACAGAGCACTATAGCACGCGGGGCTAGTCAAATTCTACCTGGGATTGGACCTCAATCTGCTTCAATTCAGAAACATAGTTACATTTGAATGCGATTTGAGGTGTAGTGACTCACAGGGACACAGCAGCCGATGTACTAGCCAATGTTTCACCCCCCCCCTCGCCCTCCCCCCTATGATGCGACTTGACCGATCCCCAAAGGATGGAGGGTTTGGTTGGTCTAGGAGGGTCCCAACGCAGATGTTACCCCGACCATCCATGTCGTGGTTCGTGTCACTTGTCACTGCAACACCATCGCAAAATATATATTCAGTGGGAGGCGAAATTCTTGTTGTCCACGTTGTACTGCAGGAGTGGCAAAAATAGGATTTCGCTCTTCAAATGTACTAGTTCTGCGATACTTTATGATTCCAGCACACGGGTATGTGATGACAACATAACGGTTGGTTACGCTTCGCTAATGGGCGGGGCGAGCGACGCGACGCGCTAGACGAGCTATCTTGCACGGCTGTTTGAATATGAGGGTTGAAAGAAGAAAAGATCTACATCGGCATGAAGTGTTCCTCCCCATCAAGTTCACATTTGTTTTACTGCCCCAGTCGACAGATTGATGCACGTGGGCGACTCGTTGCACGACGGCGCGACAGATTACGATTGTCTTGCCCGTCTCCCCTGACGCCCAAGTTTGAGACTACGCTGAGATCAAGCGTTCGGCCCGTAACCTAGCATTCTTGTGCGTGCCCTTGTACCGGTAAGAGGGATGGCACCTAAACGGAACATCTAACAAAGTTCTGAACCTACAGTAGAGTTTGGGAGATGTTGACACTTGGCTGATCGATCGCCAAACTGGAACACATTTCCGTTGGGGCGTATAAGGTGAACAAAGCCTGAAATCGTTCATGTTCAGTTCGTCCGATCACCTCTGCCATGCAGTCCCGAGAAAGAGTAGTTGCATGAAAACTGTTCCCTCTGGGTCCGACGTACCTTGAAAAGTTCACTGGCCTTCCGGTTCACACGATAACAAGAGCCAAGTTCCTTTTTGATGCTAAAAAGAAATTTATTGAACAACACTAGAATGACTCGAACACATTAACTAGAGAGGACCACATTCAGCTTTTGGAAGCCGAAAGTCGGGCAACGTCGTGGAATTTACATTGATGTAGGGATATTCAGTCATTCTGAAGCAGGCGTTGTTCGGCT